TGTCACTTTAAATATGGGCATATTATTAGCTTTTTTCAGTCCTCTGACACCTCCAATGTTCCAAGATTCATTCAATAGCCACATCAGTGGCTTAGAAAATTCCTGGGCCAATTCCTTTGAAACTCTTGGGTGCATGACCTCTACCCTTGTGGATTTAAAAATGGCTCACTTTAAGAGGTGCTGTTTAAAGATCCTATCTAGTACAGCTGGAATGAAAAAGGATTTCATTAGCACTGTAAGCTGTGACTACATCCTCCCATTTCTTCCAAACAGAGAACAGAAATATTTACTGAACACTTCTGCCGATTCTCCACCATGATTCACAATTCTACCATTTACATTCCTGGTGACATGGAAGCTGTGATGCATCTGACAGCAGCTGGATACATGCCAAACACATCTTGCTATGACCATGGTGGAATACAATGTTTATTTACATCTGTTTGGTCTTACTGCTGCAGTACCTACACCGTCTTACTCCCCCATGTAGCTTTACATGGGTGCTTTAACTGGCCTCCTCAGACGCAGAGTTTTACAATTCCCATATGTCCAAGTTATTCAAAATAGTCACAGAAAAGACAATAATAATCTCCTCCTCTTCTCCATGTCATCTATTACTAACCCACTCCCCCTCCTCAAAATCCAACACTTTTATAGCATAAATACAAACTTGTTTTGAAAAAGCCCTGAAACTACCAAGCCCTTTGCCCATCACCTCCTGCATTGTGCCTGGATTGTGTATCCTGTTCCGGTGCCCTTTGTCTGTCTTCATCTCCTTGGATTGTGAAGTTTCCAGGACAGGGACACAATCCATCACTAACACTTGCGTCTAAGCTAACTCTTTTACGTATGTCTCATGAGAACAACATTCTGTTCTTATGTCTCACGTGAAAAGTGGGCAGCACAGACCCATTGGCTTGGATTTAAGTATTTCGGAGTGCGGGCGCGTACAATGTATTCTACGCACAGTCCTGATCGGCAGCTTATTCTCCCCAAGGGAAAGAAAATCAGGGCCAGTTGTAAGAAACACCATTTCTTCTTTACCTACATGCATTTCCAGTCGGCTTCCCACTGCAGGCACAAAAGGCTGTTTCTAACGGCGTGCACCCAAGTGCAAGTGTCGATTTAGATGGAAAATGAAGGTCGGAAAAGGTAAAAAGCGGTTCATTCCCCTGCTCTGCAACACTAACCATGTTCGTCTAAAGAGGCGGTGTACCTAGGATGCTTTCCTTCTGCATAGACAGCCCCACACCCGTGCATGCATATCGTGTCTTCAGCAAGGCACTGGAAACTACTGCAGTGCAGTCTGAATCACAAGGAGACAGATCTAATCAATGGACTGCAGCTGACTAAGCAAAAAAAAGAGTAGCGGGCAGAGCACAATAGCACGCTGCCAGTGGGGACACACCGGAGACGTGGGCCCTGGAAAAAAGACCCCCTCTCCCCTGGGTTGCCAACACATGACTGCCCGGAGCTGGTGAAATAACAGGGCACCGGGAAAATGTTCCACGAATAGTTTTGAAAATGCAAAGCCCGCCCGCCCCCACCCCCCAGCTAATTGCGATTACGCGGGGCCAGGCACCAGTGAAGATACCGAGCCAGGGTCCTATCAACAGCTGAACCCCTGCAGCTCAGCTTGCGAAACCGCGCCACCACTTCCCTCCCAGCGTGTCCGTACCGCTCCTGGTGGGGAACAGGAAACAGCGTGCAGGGCTGCCCATGTGTCGCGCCAGCCCAATCCGCTGGCCTCTCAGCCGAGGATTTTATCTGGCACGCCACCATTTACTCTAGGGCCAGTGGTTCCCACCCGGTGGTCCGCAGACCCCTGGCGGCCGCGACGGGACTGCAGGGGGTTGGCAGAAAGTTTAGAAGTTAAGGCTCGGGTCTGCTTTGCTTTTCCTGTTCTCCCCCACAGCGGTGGGCTGTGAAATGTGAATCGATTGAAGAGGGGTCCTGGGCTCGACCCACGGCTCTAGGCTGACCTGCCCCGCCCAAAGAGCTGAGGGCAGAAGGAATCTCTCCCACGCTGAAACTGAACAATAAATCCGCCGACTGGGTTAGCACGCCGGGCCTGCAAACTGAAATCAGGGCTTGGCTGGCTTCGAAGGTAGGTGCCGCTGGCTTCAAAAGCAGCTAGAGGGCACGAGCGTTGTACTACACCCGCTTCCCAGGGAGTTGCAGCGCGCAGCAGATGGGATCCTCCCAGCAGGCCTGACGGAGTCATAGAATCCCAGGGCGGGCAGAGCCCTCAGGAGTCATCGAGTCCAGCCCCCTGCCCACAGCAGGACCGACCCCAACGCCATCAGCCCAGCCAGGGCTTTGTCAAGCCAGGACTTAAACACCTCTAGGGATGGAGATTCCACCCCTCCCTGGGGAACCCATTCCGGAGCTTCGCTCCCCTCCTAGTGAGTCATCGTGGGCTAACGTGCTATTATCCCCCAAGCAAGGGCCCCGACATGGAAGTCCCAATGCCTGATAAGGAAGACAGGCTGCCTCCATTACACAGGGGAGTCGATGTTCTCCCGCTTGTCCGTAGGATTCAATTCATGCTTTTGTTCACTGCCTGCTCTAGCGCTTCGGACGAGTGGCCAGCGTGCGTCTAGCTTCTGGGGGAACAAGCCCCAGAAGGACAGTCCGCCCGCGCTCCTGGCATCCCAAAAGCCCAAGCTGTAGCGCTGCTTTTCTCAGCATAGCGCTAGCGGCCGCTCAGAGGGAAAGGGGCCTCGGGAACGCATCCCAACAAGCGGACGCTCTCTGGGCCCTCTTTCCGGCCCAGAGCAGAGCGGAGCCACGACCCAGGCCAGGAGCACGAGGGTTAGCTCTGTGCACAGCGCTTCGTACCCTGGATTACCAGCCTCCTGTTGGTTACTGAAGTGTGACGGAGGGCGTGGGGACTGGCCGTCACATGGCAGACTTGCACAGAGGGAAAAATGATGGAAAGAAAGGTTTAAAACCAGAGACTAGGCTCTCCTGGGGTTCCCACCAGCCACAGGAATCTCTAGAGAAGGCGTGGCCAACTCGAGGCTCCTGAGCTGCCTGTGGGT